GAAAGCCACTGTACGAACCAAGTGGTCGTACAAGGTACGAGCGTACAAGAGTGACACGACGAGTGTCAAACACCACGAGTGTTGCCACGGTTTGTACCGTGCAAACCAACACAACAGGAGCGACACGAACGACACGTTGTGTCAACCGGAAGAGGAACGAGATAACAAGTTCCAACAGGAAAATACCACAGAGGTACTTCCGTGGGAGAGTTCCTATCCTCAACAAGAGAGCCATCGAAATAGGCTACTAGAAGAGAGGTGCGAAGGAAAATTCCAACGCACAACAAGACGAATTACCAGGCCGATCACTCGGCAACCACAGGTCCTACAGGAGGACTGTCATACACAGAAGTGGGCTACCATACAGCCACTGACAGGCCCTCAAGCGTGCAAGCACTCGAATCGACCTCAGAGCGAGTTGCATCCATCGGCAACAGGCTGAACAGAGTGGAATTTTGCATATTCCACCAGCCAAGAAAAAGACGACCGAAGCGATTGAACGATCGCTGCTACTGTCAACAAGAGAAACAAGAGTTCGCTACTGCTGCGTTGACGAACAAGTGTCGACAAGCAACAGCAGCCAACGAGCGATCGAACGGCCGAAGCTGAGGCTACCGCTACGGCGACAGCAAGAACAATAACAGCCGACCGCTACCACTAGCCAGTCGGTGCTACCGCTGCGACCATAACAAGAACAGTGACGGCGACTACTAGTCAGTCACTCCCACTACTGTTCCAGCCATCGGTCAACAAGAAGCAACAGCATCAGCTAACGAGCGTTCGAACGGCCGAAGCTACTGCTACGGCAAGAACAACAAGAACCACGACGGCTGTACACTACTATAGCCAGTCGCTACGGCATCAACAAGAAGAAAGACGACGACGACTAATACTAGTCAGGCCGCAACCAATAGCGACGACAGCGCCATTGTGGATCGGCAACAAGACGAAGGCAATCCTTGCTTTTTGTGAGAAAAATCGCTTACTACCATGGAGTTCCACGGAATGGCAAAGAACAGCCTGCAGTTCAGCGAGCAGCCACTGAACAGGAAAAAGGTATCTTTCCGTCGCGAAAAGGTATCTTTCCGGCATGGAGCCAGATCTCAAGATCTCTCCGCACGTCGGCAACAAAAGGATCCCCACGGCGAATCCAAGCAAAGTCTCCGTACTGTGCCAGTTACCACTTACCACTGCACCTACCGGTACAGTAAATACTGGAGCACGTCCTGCATTGCAGGTAGCTAGCCAACCGGCGCAGCACGTCCTGCAAGATAGCCACTGATACCAGTTACCGGAGCAGTGACAGCAAGCTACAGGAAGCACAGGAGTGCATCCGCCCCCAGCATTGAATATTTTCTTTGGAGTGTGTATTGAGTTTTACACTCAGCACCTCCTACCCTTTCATGGAGTGTGTCTTATTGTGGCTTCCGAAGCCACAACACCTCCTACTACCATTTTTGGAATGTGTATTGTGAAACTAATCCACAGCACTTCCTCCTTATGAAACAGGCAAACCTGAGGCAACAGCAACCTCCAGGCAACAACAGATACCATTACAAGTCTATGCCCTTGCTATTTGATCACAGCAAGTGCACAGGAGTGTGGTGGTACCCAAAACCTACAAGCCTACAAACAAAATCATCATAACATCCGCCTTTATAGGCAATGCCGCAACCATCAACGGCACCAATGGCCACAACTATAACAGCCCACAACGGTATCTACCGCTACCAATGGCTACAACAGCCAACAACGGTATCTACCGCTACCAAACCAAATACGAATTGCATCTACAATAACGGCAACTGCAACAACAGCAGAACGACAGTGAACGTTGAACCGAGTAGCTAGCTACAAGCGACTCAAGAGTTCACAAGACAAGGAACCAAGCCACAGGATGGCTGGAGCATTCAGAGTTTGACCCACAAGCGGGAACCTGATCAATAGAAACAACAAGAGGGTGCACACCTCAGCTCCACTGCAACTACTGTACAGAGATTGCGACAACAGAAGTACGTGAGTACATCAAATCAAGCCTACAACAGATACAACTATGGACGACTACAAGTTCTGACACAGCCTGCTCACAGGAGTGTAAGAGCAGTGACAGAACCAACACTTGTCCTGCCACAGCCATCTCACAGGAGTGTAAGAGCAGTGACATCACCAACCAAAGGATCTACCGACTACATCACCATCGAACCATCGTCGACCGTGACACGTCCAGGTCCAGTGGAGCCCATCAAGTTGGAGCATCCACAACTGCTACCGAATACTTCCTTACAAGTATCCAAACTTCCAAGGGCTTCCAGCCCCAACTCAAAGCATCATTGTGGCAAGGAACTTCCTCCTAGTTCCGGCTACAACAACAGTTCTCCCAAGTGTCGCTATAGCCTGACTTCCCAGTCTCAGCTACGGCAACATCAAATGACGGTACCAAGTGTACCAAGTGACGGCACCAGTCACCACAAGTGACGACACCAGCAGTCACGAGTCTCACATGAGTATACACACCCATGACAAGAGGAAACAATGACTCAACCATTTCCTCATTCCATCTTCAGACATCGAGACCATCCAAGAACTAGGTTCAGTCGAACCCAACAAGTCCGTGACTTCCAAGCTACATCATTTCCAGCTTCCATGCACCTTCCAATAGGGCATCACTTCCCACAAGTCTACGACTTCCAGAAGCTTCCACCAGCTTCCATCTACGAAGGGCTTCCAGCCCCATCAAGTGTCAATGCAGCCGACCTTCCCAGTCTGAGCCGCAGGTACACCAAGTGACGGTACCATCCGACACCAGTCTTCCAGGAGTGGCACCACTCCCAGCAGGAGTGCCAGCCACAAAGACTTTTCCGATGATGACAATGTCCGTATTGTCTCGTCTCCACCGCTCAGCTTCTCGTTACCAAGCGGGATGCCGAGCAACTACTTCCAAGGTTTGTTTTGGACTCATTGCACGCCAGTCGGCACGACGACGCGAGACTTGGATTACAAAGCCTTTCCAAGGTAGGAGCCTGCTTACCCAAGCACTGATAGACACTTTGAGTGCTATCGATTCTCAGGAATCCTAGAGGCACCGCCTCAAGCTCCACAGCAATCCAAGTTGACGCTCAGTTGCATGCCAATGTCAACCAACCAGCAGCTGGTCACGTACAGAGTCTCATGCCAGTGCTCCGAGGTGTGCCCGTGCAGCAGGCAGTGGTAGTGATAATTTGTACCCCAAACAAGTCTACTTTTTAACTTCTTTGATTCTCCGTTCGATTATCCGTTGACACCAGATCGATGCAAGAACGTCTGCCATCGAATGACGAGCGTCATCCAGCGGCCGGATCGATTCTTTGATTTCGGATCGATCGAGACCATCTGAGTTGCAAGTGCGAAAGCGCTCGGGCGTTCAGGCAGGCAGTTATCAAGCAAGTGGTAGCACCCGTGCTCCGGTGTATCTTTTCAGGGATTCCCACGTTCCTAGGCGTTACCTGAAAGTAAAAGCAGACGTTGACCGGGCCAGTTGCCGCCATCTAAGAGGTGCCAGGTCCCATAAGAGCCTTTGTACGTCCGCTGTTGAAGGGGGCGTTGAGGCAGAGTTCGTGGGAAGGGTCTTTCTCTGGAAAGCAACGAGGCTCAACTTTTGGAATCCAACCGAAGAGCTGTTCCTTCCATGGCACAAGCTGATCAGTAGTCCGGCTATTGCCAGTCTGCTCACCTGATTTCTCCGTTCGCTTGTGGTTGTGTTTCACTTTGGGGTTGAGCCATGGTATCGATGTCGTTCGGTTCAGCCACGTCGGGTCCTGAGTTAGGAATGCGCGGACTTCTGTTTTCAGTCGTCAGTGACGGAACTTCCCGTCACGTTCACAGTTGGATTTCCGGGTTTGATACGGATAGTGACGGCACCAACCGCCACAGCAAGTCATACAGGAGTGGCAACACTCACAGGAGTGGTAGCCACAGTGGCTTTTCATGACGACACTGTCCACATGTCCACATTGACTGTGACAGATTTGTCAGCACTGCTATGGATGACAAGCTTCTCGCCACCAAGCGGAATGCCGAGCAACCTAGCAATTGGTCTCCCTCGACCAACAACTGTTCCTTATGGAGCAATCATCATTACATTAATTATTCGTTCCACGGTATCCTTTATGGAACCGTGCAGGAGTGTGTTGGAGGTTGTATTACAGACACCTCAATACAAATTAGTCGTTTATCCCAATCTAGTTATAGGGGATATCTATATCTATTCTCTAGTTACATACATGGGGAGTTTAACAGATCTATATGGTCACCCCCTTCACTATATCCTTTGAAGTTGAATCAATCCCAGAAAACATGGAGAAAGATCACTTCTTGGAAATAGCTTAACAGTAAAACAGTATTTTTACCTTTACTAAGCTAGAGTGTTACTAGAAACCAACAGCCGTGACATACCCATCGCCTATTCTCCAGAGAGCCACCTCGGTGAGCAATCCCGAAGGTTCACCGATCAAGAACTCCATCTCTTGTTTGGGAATCGGAAACTTGGGGACTACAAGGCAATTACTGAGGTTTGCACGCATGGAAAACATAGCAACGCCAGTGAATCCATACCGTCAGTTGGTGATTACGTGAACTTGCGACGTGGAAAGAGAGGTCGCAAGTCACGTATCCCACCACCAGGGAGGACATTGCACGCAGACTTATGCTACGGTGATGGCATCTCTCCCGGTGGATTTCGATATGGTCTCGCCATCGTCGATGCAGGCACACGCCAGAACTGGTTTTATGGCCTCCGCGACTTAGAAGCAAGCTCCATTATCGATGCATTGTGGTGTCTGTTCATTGATATGGGAGAACGCAGCACACAAGTGAGACATTTCCACTGTGATTTTGACCAGAGATTCGTTGGGGGGAACGTTCGAAAGTTCCTTAGACGTCGAGGCATCAAAATATCGGCATCCCCACCTTATCACCACTCACAGAATGGATTGGTTGAGAACCACTGGAACACAGCCGTCAGGATGGCCCGAGCGTATCTCCAAGAAGCCAATCTCCCAAAGAACTTCTGGTTCTGGGCAGTCCGAGAAGCTTTCTTTCGTATGAACCTTCTTCCTGTCAACATCGGCCCACGTGGAACCAAACACAGCGAACAACACCTCAGCACACCATTTGAACTCTTCTACGGATGCAAACCTGATATGTGTGTCCTCTTCAAGTTTGGCAGTGTCGGCTTCTTCTACCGACCTGTTGATGGGAGTCGCTCCAGAACCAAATTCGAGGTACAAACCTTTCCTGGGATAGCGCTGGGACGCAGTGACACCACCAACGGAATGATCTTCTGGTGTCCAGAAACCAAAAGGTTCTGCACGGCGGCGGACTACTTCCTGGACGAAAGTAGACATGTTCGCAACTTCTTCCCTGAGCTGGTCAACAATGGGGGGTTTGAATTAAAACTGTGTGAGCACGGACTCCACGGCAAAGCCATCAAACACCCTCCTGGGAGCACTGTCACGTTCCGTCTTCCCGGACCAGTTCAACCATCTGAACGGCCATTGTTCACCAGTGGAGAAGTCATTGGGCTACCCATGAAACGGGGATCCCCATACTACACTGTCAAGCTTCAAGATGACACCACAGTGGCACTGGACCCAGCGGAACTCTGGGAGCCAGATGACGCATTGGCAGGACTGGAATTGATTGACGACCCTGACCACAGCGATCCCACATCCCCAGTTCGTCCAGCCTGGCTCATCCAAAACTGTCACGTTCGTTTCAATCACCAGGGCCAGATGCTCAGAGGGTACCTCAAGCACACGGACTCCTACTCCTGGTGTTTTCGGCAGAGAGACCGTGGCGGCCGTGTCATCACGGACGTTCCTATTCCTGACTTGGACGTGTATTGGCAACATTATCTGCTGGAAGGATTGCTAATTGTTGGATGGGATGAACCAGATGTTACTCTCGGTACGGCACATCACGTTTCAGCAAAGGAGCTTCAAGGGGGGGATCCTCAATTTTTGTGGCGTGCCTTACAGAATCCATCGAGTCCGGATTATCAGATCTGGTTGGACTCATACCGAGAAGAATACGATGGGATCAAGCGTCTGAATACATACACCGTGGTGGACGCAGCTGAGGTGAACCGACTTGGAGTCAAGCCAATACCCACCATGAACATTCTCACCATCAAAACAGACTCGGATGGAAAGCCTGTCAGAGCCAAATCTAGAACAGTCGTCATGGGAAATGAGGAGGAGAGAATATGGGAGAAGAATGAGCTATATGCACCAGTAATCATGCGACATAGTCAACGCGCTCTGGTTGCCCTTGGCGTGTCCCAAGGAAGAAAGAGGAAGCAATGTGACGCAAAGAATGCGTTTTGCCATCCGTACTTACCTGAAGATGAGATCGTAGTGGTGCTCCCACCAAAGGGATGTCCCTTTTCGAAACCAGGTGATTACTGGCGACTCAACAAGACACTCTATGGACTCAGGAGAAGTCCACGACACTGGTATCAGACTTTTTGCAAGGTTCTGGAAGGAATGGGGCTGCAGAAGTGTCCAAATGACCCGGCTCTATTCATCGGAAAATCCCCAACTGGTGGCACCATCTACTTCGGAGCATACGTGGATGACTGCCTGTACTGGGGCACAGATGACGCAACTGAGGAATGGTTCGAGCAGGAGCTCGGTAGTCAACTACACATTGACTTCATGGGTGATCTTACCTGGTACCTTGGTGTATACTACGAGTGGGGAATGACATCCGATGGGCGACTCACCGTTCACCTGTCGCAAGAAGGATACATTCAGAAGCTCCTCGATCAACACGGACTTCAAGACGCAAATGCGGTCAGAACGCCTTACCGATCAGGTCTGGCAATCGACAGAATCCCACACGATGGGTTGGAGCCCAACCAGAAGAAAGAACTCGCCAAGGAGTACTCCTCGCTTGTCGGTGGTCTGAATTGGCTAAGCCAGAACACTCGACTGGACATCACCACGGCCACCAGTCTTCTTTGTAGCCACCTGAAGAATCCATCGGCTGGTCACGTAGAAGGAGCCAAACACGTCCTCAAATATCTGAAAGGATCTGCCGACTGGGGAATCCAATATACCCAGCCACCCAAGGACAGCAAGGAGTTCGATCCGGCAAGGTGCATGAGAGGAGAGACTGCTTGGCCCGTAGATGGCGGTCCCAACGTTTGATGTCTCGATCGGATGGATGGAGACACCGATAGCAACTGGGGCCCACAAGACGCTTCGGCCCCACTGGAAGGCGAAATGCGACAAGAAGAGGAAGTTAGATCCATTCTCGGAGCAATAGTCGTGTACATGGGGGGTCCGCTGGACTGGAGCGCATGTCGTGAGAAGAAGACAAGTCGAAGCTCTTGTGAAGCTGAGATAAAAGGTATGGACGAGGGCTGCAAAATGATTGAAGGGCTTCGAATATATTCGGCGATCTTGGAGCGAAGCACATCGCTGAGCCAACCGCCTTGCTCTTCAACGACAACAAAGGAAGTGTACGGCGTCGGAAGCGATCACCAAGAAACTGCGGCACATGAACATTAGAGAAGTCGCATGCCGAGATGCCCAAAGGCAAGGCAAGGTCAAGATCGGACACATCCCAGGCAAGCTGAACTCTGCAGACATCTTCACCAAGGAGATCAAGGATGCACCGCACTTCGAACTTGTCAGAGGATCAATAATGAAGCCAAGACCGCAGAAAGATTCTCACAAGAATGGCGATGACACTAGCGATGAGCCATCCATTGATGACGTTGGCGTCATGGGGGGTGTTGGAAATGGAACACATCACACTAGTGACTCACAATCATGAGTGAGCCCCAATCCAGTCCTGGGAGCAGGACCGGATCATTGGAGGATGGCAAGCCCGACAGTCCCAAACAAGACTAGTGAATGACTGAGAAAAGACAACCAAAGCAGAATTAATCATAATAAAGATTTCTACATTCCAACAGTAAAGGCCGAGTTTCCCACACACACCTTCCCCACACACACCATCACCCTCTACTAGTCGTACATGTAGATAGCTGCTTTGGGCGAGCGCCACTTGTCCGCGCTCCACCTCTGCCGGTAATGTGTGCCCATGGGGGCAAAATGAGCGAACCTCTATTGCACACATTTCTCTGCACCTCCAGGGTGTGCACCTCGGCGGCAAATAGTCTGCACCTCTACTGCAAAAACGCCTCGCCCTGGGGGGTAAAAATTTGCACCTCTATTGCACGCACCTCGGGGGCAAAAGCAAAAAACACCTGCACCTCTACCGGAGGGCACACACCTCAGGCTAGCAGGGGCAAAATTTGTGCACCTCTAGCTAGGGCACGGATCTCGGAAGCAAAAAGAATCTGCACATCTAGTAGGGCTCCCGCTGAGACAGGGAGCACCCACCCAACTAGACCCCTCCGGACCTAGCTATTGCGGCCTGACCAACATTTGGTCCCATCCAGCCCCCCTGGTTGTTGCCTAGCCCCATTCCGTACCGTATCAGCCTGTGACTCCCGATCCATTTTGGAGAGCCCCACATCAGGTCCCGCTCCTTCATCCACTCCTTTCACTTGACCTGGGCTAGCTGCAGGAGGCAGCCAGAACCAAACACTGCCATACTCAAACTTGATGTTCACTATTCACACCTGGCTACTACCTACGGCACTTCGTAGAATTGGTCTGGACACGACCTAAGTGATACACCCAGTTGCCAATACGTGGACTGAATCCTGAGTGGACCCTGTACCAACACCAGGACCTAAACTATTCCATCTCATAGTCCTCTCCTGGAGCAACTCATCTTATCTCTTCCATATCGTTTAGAGAGCATACTAGTAACTACCCTGTCTCTCTGTCTCTGGACTTCTGGTCCTTACACCAGAAGCTGCGTTGCTGGCTCAGCTGGCATACGAAACAATGCCATTAGTCTAGAGCCAACGTTACTCGAATTTGATTCAAAAAGCACGCGCGAGAGAGTGAATGCGCTGCATGCACTGCTTCCGCAAAACCTGCTTCCGTCAAACCAAAGAGCGCTCCGCTTGGTGCACGGTCTACTGGTGCTGGTAGCAAGGTCACAAAATACTTGACTTTGTCCAAGTAGCAAGCAACCCGAGCTTTTGCACCGACAACAAAACAAACAAACAAACAAACAAACAAAAGGCAGTGAAAATGACGACAATCTGTTTGATCAAGGACGCAATCGCCGCTCTCAAGGAACGCAATGGCTCCTCAATACTCGCCATCACCAAGTGGATTGAGTCGGAAAAAGATGTGAGTCAATACCTGCGCTCCGGTTGATTGAAAGTGCTCCTCATTTGAACTCGAATTGTCTCACATGCTTGCATGCATCTGTTCAATTGCAATAGACCACTGTCAAGAAGCACCTTCTCAAGAAGGCGCTCGACAAAGGCGTCGAAACTGGCGAACTCGTCATGGTCAAGAACTCGTACAAACTCTCCCCCGCGGCCAAGAAGAAAGGAGACAAGAAAAAAACCGCCCCCAAGGCCGCCCCCAAGGCCGCCGCAAAGGCGAAGAAGGCTGTGAAGGCATCCAAGAAAACGAAAGAGGTGGCAGAGGACGTATCTGAAACCTTTTCAGTGAAGAGTTCTGAGAAGGAGGACGAGAAAGAAGCCAAGAACAAACAAGCTGCGGCTGCGGAGAAGGAAGCCAAGAAAAAAGAAGCTGCTGCCAAGAAACAAGCTGCCGCTGCGGAGAAGGAAGCCAAGAAGCAGGCAGCAGCAGCTGAGAAGGAAGCCAAGAAAAAGGAGGCTGCCGCCAAGAAGGCGGCCGAGAAGGAGGCCAAGAAGCAAGCCGCAGCTGCGAAAAAGGAAGCTAAGAAGCAAGCGGCCGCCGCTAAGAAGCAGGCAGCTGCTGAAAAGAAGGCCACCAAGAAGGACGATGCTACTGAAGAGAGCGATTCATCCGACAGCCCATCCATCCCCCACGAAGTATCGGTTCGCACTCCTGTCAAGGGACCCGATGCAGTTCCTGCGTGTTAGATGCTTGCTGCTCTTGGACCTGCATACCGGTACAGTCCAACGTTCCAAAATTAGATTTCAACAAATTGTGACCCAGATTTGGATACTGGGCTGGGTATCAAAATTGTTCTGTTGTCAAGGCGGCTGATTGGCCTTCTGTTCGTCGTCTATACTTAGCCATACAATGTAACTTTATAAATCACTCATTGATGCAACTCCAATTGCCTCCGTTCGTCCAACAGTTCCTTAGAAAGTTCATCTTAGACGTACCGGTACCGATGGGTCCGATCCGCAAAGTGCTTTCGAGTTTCAACGACGCCTTGGCAGCCTTTGCTCCACGGCAGCTCAGCTCTCTTCGTCTCGCTCCTCAGCGGCACCGCACTACAGTACCGTTGCTCCATTGGCGTTGTCATTGTATCATTATGGCCTCATTCCCTTGTGGCATGTGGAAATCTTGCGGCACACGCACCTTGGGTCCCACAATAAAGTTTCGCCAAAGGAAACGAAGCAGAAAGAATAGGGGGAAGCCACGTTGACCTTTTGGAGGTGGCATTGCTTCCACTGCAAGTGCATATTCACAATTGATGCGATACTCGGGCGCTGGTACTACTATTAGTGAATCAGCATTGTCATCCCACAATTTTGAAACAGCATTTGGTTGCAACACTGCTGCGAGCGGACCATTTCCAATTTTCAGATTGCCCGCATACAATCCCATGACTGTCAACTCATTCCAAAAAGCAGATATCATGGGAGTGTGGCAGCAGGTCGTGTAGGCACGAAACATTCGTTGTGGTCGCGATGGCACCTTGTCAGGATTGTAGTACGTGAACTGCAACAGGTCCTTGCCTGATGTGACTCGCACATTGCGTCTATATACTTGACAAGTCCTGGTTCCTCCTTGAATGTCCGTCACGACTCTCGTCGGTTTGTCGGCTCCTGCTGCTGTTGCCAGACAATACTGCGAGTAATGCTGACAGTCATCACAATAGCAGACCAAATGAACCGGAGTGGGAGCGTCCACGGAAAATTGAACCTCGCCACAAACGCATTCGGCTTTCAACGACAGAGGCGTGGGTCCTTTTGAGCTTTGCCGCCATAGAAAGACAGCAATAGCCGCCGTCGAGGCAGACAACCCCACCACGAGGTTGAAGGTTGCTGCGGGCATGCTCCCGTGCATCTACTCTTCCCTGTACTGGTACCTCTATGTAATCGTGTCAAGGTCAAGCCCAAAGCATAGTACTGGCAACGTATCCTCCCAAAGCAACCCGCAACGCAACAGTCGCTCAGATCCCAGCTGTTGGCTACCGGTACGGGGGTGGATGTGCCTTTTCAACTGGCTATGCATAACTGTGTCAATATTTCCCCAAAACCACTGAATTTCATTTTATCGAGGGCATAAAGAAAGTGCTTGAGAAGGTGAAACATGGTGAATTTTAAAAGTGAAGAAATATATCTAAAGAAAGTTTTAAGAAGCGGTCGAATATAGTTAAAAATAGACAAGATTGTGTGAATATGTCAACAAGTTTCAGGAAGGTGGGAGAAGACGCTCGAGGGCACCCCCTGACCTTCAGAACAACGTGTTTTGCTGAAGGAGTGTTCTATTATTTTTAGTATAGTACTGAGTACCGGTCGATCGGTCGATAGTAGTGAGCAAGTCCAGATCAAGTAAGTGCTGCAGCCGTCTTGGTAAACATTTATTGAAGGGCTATTGATCATGAAGACGGCTAATAATAGTGCAATAGCTATGCAATGCTGTAAGGTGAACTTCTTTTGCATCTTATGGGTATGAGTGAACACTGGTTGCGACCAGAGAGACAAATCCATAAAGTCCGTAAGTACCAGGTACTCCAGTATTTTAGAATTAAGCGAAAACAAAACCAGTAGAAGTAGACAGTAATGGTCAGATGTCGCCAAAATCATCTGCACAAGCTGGTTTCTGCAGCTTTTCTGCTTGCAACTCACGCGTGTTTGATAATGATTGCTTTCCGCTGCACGTTCAATTGCATCCACTGCACGGTCAACATTAGAAGACATCATTGAAGTTGAGATATCTCACCAACTCATCAGAAATATGTAGAGTTGATTACTTAAGCACCACCGCCACGTCTGTTGAAGTAGATCCCAGTCAGACAGATTTCTACTGCCCTGCCCGCAAAACTGCAAGTTCGCACCACCTGCCCATTTCAAAGACGAACTACTACTAGTAGTATGCATATCAGCGACTACATGTATCGCAACGTGCTCAGCTCCGCAGCCGGTGGCTACCGCTGGCTAGGAATACGTACATGTACCAGTACCCTTCCACCTGTTGAGTCAACTTCAACCACCACAGCTGCACTTAAGCTGCCGTCTTCTGTCCCCAGCCCAGGCTTTTTTGTTGTTGCAGTGGGAGTGTCGAATTGTCCAAGGAGGCAAACAGACAAGCCAAAGGTTAGCTGCTAGCTAGCTAGCTATGCATATGTCATACCGGTAGTAGCACCACGAGAAGAAATCTATCAAATGTACATGTAGCTGTTAGTATTTTAATAAGCATGTAGGCAAACATGAGCCAGCACCCAATGTCGTCGCTTGGCTTCTTCTAGATAGTAGCAAATAATAGATAGGAACTGGTTGCTCCTGCTTTCACTAAAACACCTCATCGGGAGGCACATAGTCCAGGGAGAATGAAGCAACCTTGGAATATCGTCGATGCAAGCAGTCTTCAAAGAACATCAGGAACCGCTCATTGGAAGCCTCCAAATTGGGGTGCACAAATATGTTCTCCAGGTTGCCAAGCGCAGAGCTGCATCCGAGGCGAACCCTGCCTCGAAGTGCGAGCGGTAGGAAAGGTCTCATCAAGGACATGATCATATTGAAAACCATGCCAGTGTTGAAGAGCCTAACCTGGTGCCACTCGGTAGGGTAATGCTTGATGACAGCAACTCCCACCTCTGATTGAATGTGCCTTAGAGCAGCCAGGTTCCCATGTTGGTTCCAATCAAAGTGATCGCACTCGACAAGAATGACAATTCCCTGCACAGTGGATTCAAAATCTGGGTTAAGCGCATGAAGACAGTGGTATAGAGCCGTCATCAAGGTCTTGCGTGCAGCACCATCCGCATTTGACAGCCTTCCATTGTTCAGTGCATTGGTGTTGACCGCCATTGTGTAGTGCCCCCCACCACGGGCATAGGTGAAAGACATACCAAGGAAGAAGCCGGGGAAGAGGCGCACGGCCTCTCGAATGAACCTGAGTCCACTCTCCAGAGAATCCTCGATCTCCAACTCCTGTTGAAAGTACTGCATCCGTCGAGTTCGTGCCACGGCTTCTTCTACATCATCCAGATCCACACATGCCAGCTGTGCGTAGTCAAAGTCCGATGGCAGGCTTTGGAGGTCTGGTTCCGCCTCAATGGCAGCCTTGATAGCTCTGGCCCACTGGCGCTCTTCGCCTCGAAGCCTCATACGAAAACCCTCGTATGGTTCCTGAGGCCTGTGGTGAATGGTGGGTACCGGCGCTCTCGCCTCCATGGCTTCGACTCCTTCAGCTGCTAAGACTTGACCACCGTTGTTGTTGCTGTTGTTGTTGTTTTGTGCATCTCCTGCCGCCTGTGGTTCATGAAGCTGATCCATTATCTTGATGTCTCGATCGAGGATGTGGTCAGTTAGTTCGTCTATGATGTGGTGTGGCGCTGTGAGTGCTACCGGTATTGACACCACATACATGTAACACCTCCTCGAGTACATGTAGCCAGCAATCACACTGGGCCTGCGATAGCGGCTGTGCCAACCGTACCGTAGCCCACGAGTACACTTCCGTCGACACAGGGGAGGGCTGACGAGATGATGTGTTCTAAAAATTCTTAAAGCCTTCATTACTTCAACTATTTCCGGGGTCTGCGGTATTCTTTTCAATGTAAACTGTTGGAGTTTACCAAAGCTTCTAAAACTGTACCCTCTGAGTCAGCAGCAATCCGTCTTCTCGTCGTGACGCATTCTGTAACCACGAGATAATTAATCGCGATGTTGCCTTTTTCCGTCAAATACATAAAGAAGAGAATTATTTAATTAAACATCCATCGTTTCGTATCTGAAAAAAAGCATTATGCGTCTCCTAATAATAAATCTGCTAAAATCTTGTGTCAATTTCTGTCCGCCTTGCTTGGGTTCCTTTTCTCTCAATCTCGATGTGTTCTTCGGCGTTTCACCACAATTCAATCATCATTCGATCCTTCCGTCTGTCCGCTGCCGTCTGTCCGCCACATAAAACAAGCATTCTTTTGCGGTTCAAGAGCACTGGCGTTCACCGAACGAGCAATTTGTTTGTTTAACACCTCTCAAATTGAGTCTTTGAAATTCTTGATTTAAATCTCACTCTCACTGAAATGTCACTTAGAGGGTGCAATTTCTGTCACCCAATGTGTAATTTCAGCACGTATCAGGCTTATTAAGGTGGACGCTCACAAGTAGTAAGCCAGTGGTAGGCTGTAATAGTAATTGGGCTTGTTTTCGTTCGAAATGCTGACATATGTACGGAATCCGGAATCTCGCTGGATGGTACTCTCACTGGATTGGCGATATACGAGTTCGAGCGAAAAGTTCGAGGTTGTAAGATCGATCGCGCACCAATTCTGGCTTCATCTCTAAGTCTTTGATACATGCTCGAGCCAGTCGAGCTATCGTGTTAGCGCCAAATTTCCATATCCTTGCAATGTTCTGACCCCGCGAATATTGGCTTGATTGGCATGCCACAAACATAGTGCACCTCGAGCAGAGAGGAAAACGTAAATCGCGCTCTGTTCTATCGCCCACAACAATGGAACGTAGGAGCACAGCAAACGGTGGTATAGCCAACACTCGCACTGTGACTCCCAATGCAGGCCCGAGGAAGGTCAATGCTGCAGCTGAATTTGCAAAGTTGAGGTCAAAGGAGCCGTGGCAGTTTCCAAGCTCTGGCAATGTCACTTCGAGAACAAGGAACAATGGAAAAGGAAGGCCAAATTTCATGCAGAGGGCATTGTATGACGAGGCAGAGAGTGATGATGAGGAAAATCCAACGGCACCGGAATTTGAAGAGGATCCATTGCTGGCAGAAGAAGAGGGTGTTACCACGGAAGAGGATGAACAAGCCAAAACCAGTTTCAACACCAAACCCCACCAGAGAGTCATTCTTGAAGTTGAGCATCTCAAAGAATGTTTCAGTCAGCAGCCTTGCCGCAGAGAAAACTGCAACGGATCCCTCAAATTGAGCATCCACAATTGCTGCATTGCGTCTCATTCAAACTGTCATGTTCGAATGAAGATTGTGACTATACTTACACCAGCCCAAAGCCAACCCAAACGACAATGCACGAGAATGCCGGTGGCAACGCAAATACGAAAGAAGCACGGACTCCTCGAATGTGATGTTCGTATTGGCAATATTGCGAATGGACGGTGGAACCGAAGCGCCAGAATCCTGGTCTTTTGGGATTACCCGACACACCATGCAAGACCGTTCATTCGGAATAATTGAAGAACGAATCGCCCCATCCATCCAAGAGTTGATGGACGAGGTCATCCGTGAAAATCTAATAGAGGAAGTCCGGAAATCGACAGCCAACGAGCAAGATTTTCTAGATTGGATGGCAGCAGTGAACGATCCCAATGGCACGTTACTCAAGGAGAAGATGCCGTTTGTCGATGGGGCTTACGATATGGCGTGGCAACAGAAGGGATCTGGTCACTTGCGCAATTCCGTTTCAGGCCACAGTGTCATTGTTGGTGCCATTACAAGAAAGATCATTTCATTTAGCATCAAAAGCAAGGTTTGCAGCAGATGCACCGCTTGGGCCAAGCGGCATGCAAATACCGAGGCAGACGATCGCCCAGCAGTACCGGACCACCCATGCACCCGGAACCACAATCCGAACGATTCATCTGGGTCAATGGAGGCCGCTCTGGCTTTGGAGCTTGTCGTTGGATTTTTTCGAGAGTCGAAAGTGATCTTGCGTCGGTTGTGCTGCGACGACGACTCATCCATCCGAGCTGACTTGCAATGGAGCAACGCTAACTACAAAATCAACTATCAGACCGACGTTCTTCCCATGGTCAAGATTACAAAAGGGAAGAACAAGGGTGAGCTCCAGGAACGGCCCGACAAAGGCAAATTACCGGGTGATATCCCAGAGCCGAAGTTTGTGGCGGATCCGAACCACCGCCGCAACAGTTGACGGGTGAGCTGATCCGTTTGGATCTGTCGACAGTCGAAAAGAAGAAGGGGATGTGCCGAATGGATTCTATCCGTATTGGCAAAGAACTTTGCCTATTTTATTCGTACGCTCCAAGAGATCGAGGAAGCTGAATTCGAAAGCCGTGGCAAGGCGGTGTTGGATCACCACTTTGACAGCCATACGAACTGTGGAGCTTGGTGTGCTCGATCAAAGAGACGGAGGACGAGCAAAAGAAAAGCAAGAAGGTTTACAGAACGCAGGAGGAGGATTCGGAACTCTACCAGCTACTGGACGCAATCGTTTCGAAATACATTACTTTGCAGCGGTTGAAGGAATTGGCCCACGGATTGGATACCAATGCAACGAATCGTTCAATAGCTTGGCGACCTGGTTTGCTCCGAAGAACAAAGTTTTTGCAAGCTCTTGTTCCCTTGGCAATCGCCTCGGTATTGCGGTCTGCATCCATTCAATTGGCTACGAGCAGTTCTATCGGCGGCTACTGTTCAAGCTTGGAATAGAGATGACTGACGAATTGACTCACTACTTGGGCATTGTGCAGAGAAACCGGGAGAAGCGACAAGCCAGGAAGAAGACGACTGACTACAAAAAGGGGCGCAAGAAGAGGAAAAACGAGAAACTGGTCAACGCAACGGAAGAATTCAAGACCAAGTTTGCAAAATCATCGGGCGTTTACCACTCCGGCCTCAATATGGCGGACGTCACAATGGAGGATCTCAGGACGATGCCTCCAGTTCGTAAGAAAGCAAAGAAGCAAAGCATATTGTCCTTTCTGTGGCAGGCTGGTCATGTCAGCAAGAAGGCAAAGAAGAGCTGTTTACAAGCTGGCAACAAGAGTGACATTGAAGCTCCACCAATCTTCTGCAGCAAACTGGCAAAAAGCTAGCTGATATTGTGGCTGAGGCCTCTCCACAAGGGCCAACTAGTGCTGCTGCTGCTTTGCCTACAATCAACCAGGAAACTGATGAGCAGGATGCTGTAGCCCAAGATGTGCTAGCTATGGAAGAGGATGGAGTCACTGATTTGGCCTTTTTGGAGGAGATGCCATTAGACACTGTGGTCCCTGGAACAGAGCATCTTGCTGGACTAACAGTTGATGATGACACATCAGATGAGGAAGACCTTGATAGCAGTGAGGATGAGGGAGACACCACCAAAACTATCTAGCTTGCTAGCTATAGTGCTAGCTTGTAGCTTTTAACGTTGTAATGTCATGTTTCGTCAACTTGAATGTGCAGCCCGTACTCGTACTCTGGATCTCATCAAGTGGCTGGACGTACTGTACTGACATGATGACCTCACGAATTCTTTGTTGGTGTGCCCTCCAAGCCAACGGTTTCGAGGTCCAGATCATTTCAAATATTCACCTCACATTTTGGGCAGCAACCGCGACTCGATCTGGCTCGCCGAATTCGCTTGTATAGTAAAATAGTACCAGGAACACGGATTGGACTCACTCACCGGATTCGAAAAAAGAAAGCTCAAATTCGAAAGCTCACCGTTTGGTTTTCAGGATTCCTTGAACATACCAAAAACTCCATTAGCGCAAAACATCGACCGTGTGTGTTAGAGACCTCATTCTCTTGATGCCTGCTGCTCGTATGGCCCTACAAGTATACATTTATCTACTGCTAATAGTGTAAGCAAGAGAGTAGTGTATGGTTGCAGGGCTATTTGCCCAGCGGGCAGCGAGATTTATCGGGCTGAAGCAGCCGAATCAACCAACTGTCGCCCATTCTGCGACGTTGCAGAAAGATAACAGGCGGTTCGTACATTCGCCCTTTCTCACCTGCAACCTCTCACTACTACTATTAGACATACATCTTGTATTACTAGTACTCTCATCGGTGGACGCTTCGTGGATTACAACACACCTTTAGCAGCTACTGTTCGTTCGATCGATTGTTGTTATTTCACTCGATCTCTCGCGATAAAAGGGGTGTGTCTATCAACAGCTTAGAGCTGGCTTAATACTTGTGAGCGTCCACCTTAACACTGGGCTTAGTGCAATTTCAGTGTCACTATGTAATGTCATCACATTGACTTTTAAAAATTGCACTCTCCGATCTAAATCACACTGTGGTAAAAGAAGAGACTTGGATTTAACAGGCGAATCCCTGCATTTTGTTGTTTCGGTAGGCGCGTACAGTCGTGGTAGCCGCCACTGCACTCTCACTAGGCTCGGTAGGGCTGTACTGGACGTTAAAGTCGCGTTGGATCTCTAAACGTCGCGTGGAAAGTCGCACACATTCGTCACACAATTTGCACACGACTTTTATACGACTTTACACGCGACTTTTAGCGATTCAACGCGACTTTATCTGTTGCTAACTGTATACTTTACACGACTTTCAGTTTTGTTTGAGAAAGTCGCATACGACTTTCACGCGACTCGTACGGGATTCGCATGGGAAGCGGAACCATTTTGGCGATACAAATCACGCACGAAGGGGCCTTCCTGGAAGGCCTCGTCATTGGACTGGAAGGCAACCGGTTGGCGATAGTTAGTCGCATTTACATAGCAAAAGTCGTTGTAAAGTCGCTAAAGCACATTAAAGTCGCTATTAAAGTCGCGATAAAGTCGCGGTAAAGTCGTGCGCGACTTTAAAAGTCGCGGTAAAAGTCGCGGTAAAGTCGTGGTCAAATGTAGCGATTTTGTTAGTAAAGTCGCGGCAAAAGCGCGGAAGTCGCGAAAGTCGCGGTAATAGTCGCGGTAAAGTCGTGGTAAAGTCGTTCGCGACTTTTAAAGTCGCGAAAGAGCGCGACTTTTGGCGATTTTCGCGACTTTCAAGAAAACACGACTTTATGACGTCACCGGGAGCCTTCCCGTTAGTCCCGGATTCGTCTTGCTATGGTCAAAGTCGCGTCGGATCGCTGAAAGTCCTTCACAAAGTCGCACACGAGTCGCACGCGACTTTGGAACGACTTTCTGAACGACTTTCTGGGATCCGACGCGACTTTATCACGATATTTACAGTAAACTTGCGCGACTTTCAAAGTCGTGTGAGAAAGTCGCACACGACTTTGGTGCGACTTGCATGCGACTTTATGAACGACTTTTGATGCGACTTTGGGGCTCCTGTGCGACTTTAAGCCGATTTTGGCGATTTTCAGTCGTATGACCGGGCCTTCCTGGAAGGCCTCGTCATGCGACTGTTAGTCCCGGATTCGTCTTGCTAGGTCAAAGTCGCGTCGGATCGCTGAAAGTCGTTCACAAAGTCGCGTGCGAGTCGCACGCGACTTTGGTACGACTTTGGTACGACTTTCAGCGATCCGATGCGACTTTATCGTCATACTAACAGTAAACTTGTGACTTTCAAAGACGTGTGAGAAAGTCGCACGCGACTTTGGTGCGACTTGAATGTGACTTTATGAACGACGTTTGATGCGACTTTGGGCTCCTGTGCGACTTTATGCCCATTTTGGCGATTTTCAGTGGTATGACCGGGCCTTCCTGGAGTACAATGCAAATCATGATCACTCGTTCCTTACGTCTGTCAGCCTCGAAAGCTTTGTCTGTCCGGCCGAAAAGAGCGTTTTGATATTTTGATACCTTCTGAATCTTTGTTTGCTGGCGTTTTGCTATTTTTCACGGCAATACTGTAAAGTTACAAACAAGATGGAACGATTTTACTTTTGTAGACTTTCCGTCTGTCCTTCCGTCTGTGCTTGGCTTTTGGCTCTTCCACAGTCTTTGACTCGGCCTTCAGTCGAGTCTTCGGTGTGAGGAACCTGTTGGCATTGGTATGTTATCATTCCGGTACCATCTCGGGACTACCGGTATGGTGGTGAGCTTGTTGCGAATCTCTTTGGTGGCTGCCGTACTAGTATTTCTTGGGGATCATTGCCTACACCCTATGCCATGAATCCATGACAGGCATCGGGCACCCAATATGGCATGGAATGGAAATCTGTGTTCCCTACCCCTCAGGTTGCGATAAAGTCGCTGGAAGGGCAAGGTGTGGATCACTGGAAACTGGGATCAGTTTAGCTATGGGCGGGCGGGAGACAACATTAGGAACTTTTTGAAGCAACAATAATGCAATCAACTCGGATGCTGCATTTCTTCCAACACTATAAAGTTGACCATATCCCTGCTGCGAGATGGTTTGGGCCTCAGCTGCCCAAACGATGAAGTTAAACTCTTCTGGATGTCTCTAAATGTTAGTACAGGTACCAACGAAAACAGCACCGAGACAATCCGCTGGAGAAGTGTGAACCACAACGACAAGGATATTCTCGCAAGAAGCATCCCACGGCACCACGTTGCTTCGTTTCCGCTGAACTGATCCAAAGCTTCCTGCAACAACGACAACGAACAAGAAGAGTTATTTGGAATCACACTTCAGAACTGACATACCAATGGCATCGTCGGAGGAGTCGAGTCGAGACAATTGCCAAGCCCCGTATCCAGGGAGCCCCTCCTGAGAATTTACTTTACTAGTAGCTTCTCTCCTAGCCTTTCATACAACGAGCTAAGTACACCATAAACTTGGCCGCACTGGTACAAAGAGGAGTTTCAGGACCAATTGAATACATAAGCAATTTATGAAGAGCGGAAGCGTTGGGTATTTTTGATGGTTGGCTGGAGCGATATAGCAGTTGTTGCTTGCAAAGCCATTTGACATGGATGTGTGCTTTGCCGCTTTCTCCTCTGCACTAGGACTTTTAAATCCATTTGGTAGGAGTATCTGTTGCAACATCCCTACAAGCAAACTCTTTGTGAAGTTCTGACCCTATCGACAAACAATGCATCGTACCGTCTGTCAGATCAGGCGAGTTTTGGATTCAAGACAATGCTGCTTGTTTTGAAGCAAGAACACACCAGATCCTTGGTGCATTGCCATCTACCTGAAACTAACAAATCCAACTTTTCACCGCATCAATACCAAACGCTCCAGTCACAGAAGCAGGAGATTGTGAGGAGAGAAGGTGTCGGACATGTATAGGGGCCAGCTAGCTACATGTAGTTATTCGAAATCCCCGTTTAGCTCACCTTAGCTTCAAGATCTGCTTCGATATCAACCCAATTGAGGAAGGTGCTGGTTCTGGACGACGGCCTTTTCCGTTGCAAAAGTTCTTCTTCGAGCGCAGCGATAGTGTGTTCTCCCTTCTATGGGCTATGTGATTGCTTTGAGAATCGCAAGAATGCACTTCGATTGCCAATAGTTCGTTCCTCTGTGTATGTGCACAACGGTTGCAGTGGTAGCGTTACCGATAGCTAGCTAGTAGTAGGTATTCATAGTATGCAGAAGCTATTTTGCTGTTCATTTATGTCTTCATTGCGTCGCCTCGACACCAAACGTCCCACCGGAAAGCAGACATAGCTTCCTTGCAATAGCCCTTCAGCACGGAACGTCCCTGTTTAGTCAATCATGCAAATTTCCCTATCCCTGCCCAAGGATGCACCGATGTTGGGCTGTGCGTGTGGTGATGGTGAATCACAGCCTTCGTTTCGGAGTCTCTGCTCGCGTCGCATGTCATGGAAGGCGCGGGTGAAACGGCAGACAAACTCTGATCGTCTTCATGGTATTGTGCACTCAAGCTGTAAATGTACCAGAGATCTTCTCTGACCTGTTCCAGACTTGGAAACGGCCTGAAGTCAATGTCCGTCTGAGCTTCTAGAGCATCCAAGAAGGCCTGTTCACAGGCTTCAGACTCCCCAATCCCTTCCAGGGCATTGAGGACAGCTGCAGCAGCCAGAAAGGCCCGACTGCTCGTTGCGTACCGTTGATCAAAGAGGCAGAGCTCTGCAAAGAAAACGGCTCGATCATAAAGAGCAGCCATGATGAGAGCATTATCATTCCTTACAAACCTGAGGAAAGAATGGATGAAGGAATGGACAGTCACGGGGTGCACTCTCCAACCAAGCTGCACAAGAACTCTTGATTCCATCCTCAAAATGTCGACTTCTTGAAACTCTCCACGGCTCAACTCTACCAACTTGGCGACACTGAGCAGTCGAGTCTGATCTTGTACCTTGGTTGCCATGTAGAGGGTAGTCATGGCGGCAAGCTTGAACGTGCTCTTGTCGCACTCAAGCCATTGTCGGTGGCAACTGCTGACATAACGATCCAAGAGGGCGGTGGAGGCGGCGACAGCATCGCGAGGTATCTCATAGTGATCCACCACCCGAAACTGCCAATCGATCATTCGCTTCCGGGCTACTTCCATATCCAAAGCTTGCTCTCTGTCTCGCACGAGGCAAGCAAAGTTAGCACAGAGCCGAGTACATTGCCTCAAATCTTGCTTAGCCATTACGTTAAGCTGATCCCTGACAAGCTCCTGGTCCACGGCGCCTCTGGGCAATCGCGAAGTTGAGCTCTTCATCCGAAGATTGATGGCAGGAAACATACAGGTGGTGGGGTGTGTCATGGTGTTTAACAGGTTGGGCATGGTGTGAGGGGATACAAAAGAGCTGTGTTGGTATTTGTGCTCTTCCAAGAGTACTTTTGATAATGGTTTATGCTTCTTGGGAAGGTTAACGTGGTCCATCTCACCAAAGTTTGTCGAACTGATCCTCATCTTTCGGCATGAAAGAAAGCAACTGAAGGATCCCGGTTGGAGGCAGCTCTTGTTTTTTACGCGGGTTACCCTTGTACTTCCAAGAGTGGTCCCAAGATAGATAAAAATCGAGCCGTTGCTATAGGTGCTTCGTGTGGCCATTCGTGGCAGATTGCCAATTTTAAAAGTAACAGCCTACGGACTTCTCGAAGGCAGAAATCAGGGATCACATCCGGACAATGTCCGAATAAAACTGGTACCGTAGTTGTCTTCTTATTTTAGTCATTTTTACCATCATAAATAAGGTTAGAAAGGCACCAAAACTCAGTTTTGAACCAAGAATCTAACCATTCAAGAAATATGAATACCGAGAGAGGACGCTCCAATTTTCTCTTACAGATCCCACTTCCATTCTGACGAATTTCCATATCGCCAAATTTCCTAGGTGCCAACAAGGTTGGTCTAGTTTTAGGCGAGGCCGGCTGTACTGGTGTAAGCCATCGACTTGGGGATCCTGTAAGAGGCAATTACTGGTTGGCACTTCAAGGCAGGTTGGCTGCCCGCCACTTCCAGGCTTGGGTTCGGGACCTCACACTTGTAGGATCCGCCACCATTCATTTCATGACACATGTGCTCCACACCAGATTCTGGGCGCCTTTAGTAGGGCTGGCTGGTCTTGTAAACGACAAGGACGTCCTAGTAGGACTGCCAACAGTGCTTGTCTTGCTTCCGAGCTACATGGATGGAGTAGTGCACGTAATATCCAATGCACTACTAACTACTAGTAGCAGAAAAGAAAAAAAGTCCGTAATGTAGAAAGGAGGGAATATGTCGGCAATATAGATGTATGCCGATGTTGCCCTGTTCCGGACCCAATGCGTTTCGCAGGTGGGAAAACAAAAGCAAGATTGGTTCCGTACACCACTGCCTGGCTCATGCATGTCGGGGCACTCATCACTGACTGTGGAACTCCCGCCCAATATTTTCCTGGACTGACGACTATTCTTATTCAAGCAACCTTCCCGAGTCCAATGCAGCTAGCTAGGTATGATGGGAATTCAATGCTAACATAGCAGGATGGTTGTTCTAGCTAGCTAGTAGCTCCCATGGTATGCATACCGTAGCTAGAGCTAGCATCTTGAAACTTGCAACCGAACAGCCCACCGGTGCGGGAATGGGGTCTTGTGAAGTGCGTTCTGAATGATTGAGATTCAATCCACTACTCTAGACGACATGTAGTATAATAATAGACTGGCTGTACTAGTAGTATCAAAGTGGTACCATGGTACTGTTTTAATTTAATAAATATAGAACACGTACCGGTACGGTACATAATATTTCACAAATCACATGGCTTAAAATGACGTCAGTCGGAAGCAATTTTTGAGGGATCTATTTGAGGGGATCTTGATCCGTGACTCAGACTTTGCCAAAACTGACATCAAAGATCTTCGCATTTGCTCGAGTGACGAGTGACAGTCAAACTCGCAGAGCCAAGCAACCCTGTGTGTTGGTGTGCATGTTTTAATCTAGCTAGCAGCTAGCTAGCCAATCCAGGGCTACGATGACAAGTCTACCTTGTTCTGCGTCCGCTTGTTGGAAACGACTAGCAATTGCTTTGCTTCTGTTATTGGAAGCCACTTCGTCTGCGTTTGCTGTGGTGGGTCCCCAATCATCAGCGGCGGCAAGCTCTCGACAAAGTGCTTCTCCTGATTCCACCACAGATGAGGACCACAGTGGACTACCTCCTTACTTTCCCAGACGCCATGATGTTTTGGTAGCTTTGGATGCAGTGAAACGAGCTTGTCGTGTCACACGGGCTCTCCAACCAGTCGTTGCAGTCGAAGAGAGTAGTGCTTCCATTGCGACCGTAGAAAAGGCAGACTTGTCTCCCGTGACAGTCGCAGATTATGCTGTCCAAGCCTTGATTCTACAGTTGCTGCAACGTAAGTTCCCCTTGGACGGTTTTATTGCCGAAGAAGACCGACAAGCACCAGAAGCCGATGATAGCCTATGTCAGCAAATCATGGCAGCACTGAACGAAGATAGTGCAATTGAGAGTGATCGTGAATCCGTGCTAAGGAGCATTGAGTTGGGAAAATCATATACCCAGTGGGATTCTGCGACGACAAATCGGCCCTCTCGTGTCTGGTGCTTGGACCCTATTGATGGTACCAAGGGATTCTTGCGTGGCAGACATACCGGGGGACAATACGCCATTGCTCTGGCATTGGTGGAAGATGGAGTCCCCACCATTGGGATATTGGGTTGTCCAAACTTGCCGACACGAGTCGACGATGAACAATATGCTTGGTCTGCAGATGAAAAACACCATCAAGAAGATCCTTCTTCTACTCGGGGATGCATCTTTGTAGCCAGTCGAGGGGGCGGGTGTTACCAACTCAGTTGCAATGGGGATACTCCTGTCAAGCGGCTTGATGTCACACCCAATGATGCGTCGACACGTGTCGTTGAGAATGGGCGATTCTGTATCGGTGTCGAGCGCTTTAGTGATGCTCTCGGTCAAACCGACGCCATGGCTAACATTTTGCAACACGGATTAGACGACAATGGTGCCATCAAGAGGGCACGACGTATGGATTCCCAAGCGAAACATGGTGTCATTGCTCGTGGTGGCGCCGAATGGTACGTTCGCTTGCCCAAACCAGGTTATGTAGAATGGATATGGGATCATGCGGCTGGAAATGTGGTCATTGAAGAAGCGGGTGGGACCATGACCGATACACTTGGCAATCCATTGGATTTTTCATTGGGTCCCAAGTTGTCTCCGTATGTGAAGGGAATATTGATGAGCAATGGTGGGGTGTTTCACTCGGCACTTGTCGATGCTTATTCCAAGGTTGCGTCATAGAAGTAAGGAAAACTTTCAAGCGAAAAATCGAAACTTGCTCCACTCTCGAACCGTTCCCTGGGCACCCTGATTTGTGAGCGCTGTCATGACGGTCGCCAGCACTTTGCGGTCTCAAAGGAGGGCAACTCAATTACGCTTGGCGATGCTTAAATAAAGACAAAGTTTATTACATGAATAGCAACACCTTCTGCTCGTTGGACATTAGGTACTAGCCATGGTTGTCTGGACCGCTGGGCCATCCTTAATATTGAAATGGATGCTGCTGCTATAGCCCGGTGGTCATGGGATCATCAGAACCCTTGACCCAACATCCCGTTCACCCACGAAAGCATCATCATCAGGCATCGCTCCGTCCAATGGAAAAACATGAGGCCATCTGGGAACCAAGGATCAAAGCCCAGGCGCAAAGCCTGGGAAGAACGCTGGAATCTGATCCACTGGGAGTCCATGGGCTGTGCCTTCCGCAAAGCACATCTCGGCATTCAACACTTCATCACGAAACATGCAACATGCAACTGGGCATTGTAGAGTGGTCGCCAACTGAAAGGCGCAAGGGCAGTCCCATAGTTATTGCCCACGCTGTGGAGACGATGACGAGGATACATTGCATGTACTTCGCTACAACAATACCGCCACCATTCAACAATGGAACTCGGAGATTTCCAAGCTTGAGACTTGGCTGGAACATCGAACATCGACACACCACGGAGCCTACAATGGCGAAACTTATCTATCTTGAAACAACTCCGTCATTGGAGAATGGTAATAACCAGTCTTTCTGGATGTGTGCGGGCCCGCCCAGCACCGTCAAGGTTAAGTTAGGGTGGTGGAATTTTCTCTTGGGAAGGATTGCAACACCACTGATCCATGCACACGCGTCTCACATGGGTTCTATCGGATGAAGGGGTGATGGCACCACCTGGACTTCTGGCTTGATAGGGAAACTTTGGATGCTACAACTCCGAATGTGGGAGCATTGAAACAATTCCCTACATGGTGCCAAACCTACCCCTACTGAAATCTCCAACCTTCAGAACCTAAGACAGAAGGTACCAGTACTCCACGAGTACATCAAGGGCGATGCTACTAGCTAGTACAGCTACATGGTTAGGTACCCATAAAAGTGATTAGTTGAAGGGGCTCCAGAGGGGAGAAGGAGGAGGGTTAAGCTAGTCTGGACAAAGGCATCTAGTTGCACATGTTTCTTTGAGTTGTGGTACCCGTAAAAGTGATTAGTTGAAGGGGCTCCAGAGGGGAGAAGGAGGAGGGTTAAGCTAGTCTGGACAAAGGCATCTAGTTGCACATGTTTCTTTGAGTTGTGGTACCCGTAAAAGTCACCAGTCAAATGCACTCCAGAGGGGATTATGTACGAGTTACATAGCATGTGGTAAGGTAGGTACCCTTTCGAAGTATCTTAAAACAAGGGTTAGAAGCAAACATGCGTTATCTTAAACCTGGGTGTGGGGGTTCCCTTATGCGCGCGCACCGTGCGCGCTTCGAATGACGTCATTTTCAGTCGCGCCATGACGTCAGTACGTGCAAACGTGTAGAGAGATACATATGTAATGCACGTAGGATTCCTACACGGCTGTAGAAGCCTACGTGCAACGTACATACCTAGTGCACGTGGGCTTTCTACAGCCGTGTAGGATTTGTAATTGCACGCTACAGAGGTAGTATAGTACTGTATTTGCTATAGTAAATATGACTAATCGGTCCGACAGCTTCGTGGGGAGGTACCCGTAAAAGTGATTAGTTGAAGGGGCTCCAGAGGGGAGAAGGAGGAGGGTTAAGCTAGTCTGGACAAAGGCATCTAGTTGCACATGTTTTGAGTTGTGGTACCCGTAAAAGTCACCAGTCAAATGCACTCCAGAGGGGATTATGTACGTACGAGTACATCCGGTACGGTAGGTACCCTTTCGAAGTATCTTAAAACAAGGGTTCAAAGCAAAATTACGTTATCTTAAACCTGGGTGTGGGTGTTCCCGTTTACGCGCGCACCCCGTGCGCTGCGACGGGATACAGCTTACAATTCAGCTTTACAGCTTTACAATTAGCAGGCTTATTCTAGACGTTTCTATGATGTTCAGTAGCTCCACAATCAATGCAGTCGCCTCCACGAGGACGGGTACCGCCACTGTTTGATCCACTGTTTCGATCCTGGTGAGACTCCCAACTTTTGCCTCAACTGCTTTGTCAATGGCTGCCTGGAAGGCTTTGGCTGGGATTCCTTTGGATCCCAGATGTTGGGCAGGCTCATAAGTTTTCTGGTTGATGAGGACCCGATAGAGGGCATCCAAGTCATTCAAAGTGTCGAGGGCTTCCAATTGTTTGTTCCATAGTTGCTATCAAATACGTTGATGTCACTATTGACAACAAGCTCATGGACTTTGGATCGAAAGTATGGACACCCGCAGCCAAGGAGACCCCTCAAAGATGTGCTGGTTAGTTCAGGCATGGGTTCACTGGACATTAAGTTTAATCGAATCTCTTTGATGATCTTGCTTGCATCGACAACACACATGGAAACATTCTCCCAAGGGAACTTGGTTATGTCAAAGTGAAGTAGCCTGGCTTTGAGGGTTTCAATCCTACTGAGAGAAGGTCTGTATATTCTCTGCAGAAGAGCCAAGAGAAGTTGGGGCCCCTTGTGTTTGGCTCTAGGAATATATGATTTCAATTCTTCTTGGAGTGCATCAGTGCAAGAGTTCAAGACAGCCTTTCCTTACCAGGCAAGGTTGGTTAAATCATACTGGCAAACAGGATGTTGCTACAGATCCCCATTGGCATCAAAGAGTCTGACCCCATTGACAGTGAGGTCCTGATGCCATATTTCCATCATAGACTCTGAAACCTTTCCAGGAGCAGTGAACATGTTGATTTTATTAATATGGTTAGTATTAAGGTCTCCAACAACAGGCTGGAAGACCCCTTCCATTCCATTCTCTGTCATCATACTCTCAAAGGCGATAAGAGAGGCAAGCACATGAGACCCAGAAGCATTGGAATCAGTAAGAGTGGAGAATAGTAGGCTGGTGGAATCCTTCAGTCCTATCTTGCATGCCAATTCGATAGGCTGGAGTGTGGTGTGATGTCTCAGGGGGGGGGGGGGAAGGGTCGTCACCGTGGAAACCACTGAGGCATAGGGTGCTTTGAGGTTCCTTTCCCAGTCCATCTGACCCAGATCCTGTCCAGGCTCCAGTGTGTTTGATACCTCAAGCCGAGGGGCTTTTGTTAAGCTTGGTCTTTTCTTGGGTTTTCCCAATGTGCTGGAGGAGCTCCTGGAATTGAACTGCGGTCAATGTTGCTGCAGTCATGATTGGAGGATCAGATGGTGGGCTGATAGGATCAGATTCAAAGAAGGTTGTCTTGAGCCTTGTGGACTGAACAAGGATGCTGATGGTTGCGCTGCTGTTGAAGATGAAAATGCTGAGGGAGAGGAAGCGTAGTCAAGGTCCATAAATAGGAGATGATGGAGTGGGAGGCAGTGAAAATCAACAAGGTCAACAGAAGAGCAGTAGGAATGGCCACAGTGGCAACAAAAGGACCGGCACAAGAGTGGCAAACAGAGCAGGGCGCGGTGTATAATATCCAGTCAATTGCGTCAATCGAAGCTGGAATTTTTGAGCTTTGGAAGGGAGCTTCGAAGGATTCAAGCGACGCGATGGATTGGTCGAGTTTGAATTCAAAATACTCGAGGGAACCACGTCGTACGGAGCGATCGATCGCTGTTCGTTCAAACGACCAACTGCAAGCCAGTTCATGCAGCAAGCCAGTGCAAACTACCAATGCCAGTCCTAGGAAAGCTAGGTAAGCAGAGACCAAACGTATGGATCGGTCGAGCAATACAAGCACAAGCCGCTCGTTCCGTTTTGTCGTTCGAAACAACATAAGTGTGCGTCTCCGTCGATTTAATGAAAAAGTTGGGGTCTGAAGCATGATCAAGAAAAAGACTTTTTAGCTTCAAGGCGGGGGATTTCCGGATTTAAAATAAAAAAGGGAGGTGATTTTTCGAAAGGGGGGGGGGGCATGCACATGACACACCAGCCGAGGCTTCCATATCCAGTCGGCTTTTTTTGATAGATTTCGTTAACTCGCGAATCGGCCGATCGTGCCGATGCTCAGCTGGAGATGGGAATGGACTCGACGCCGATGAGGCGTACGATGACTGGACCTTTTACCGGTGATAGAGACAACTGTGTGGTAGTAACAGTTGCAGTCGAACGGCCAGTCACAGCAGTGGCTCTTGCAGTCGCATGATCCAGGGATAAATAGGATCCTCATTGAGGTTACGACGTCAAACCGGAAAAGGGGCGCCAGATCGCGATTTCGTTCGACGACAGGATGAAGTGGGTAGTTGAGATTGCTTACGAGCGAATCGATGCAAGACAGAGGAGGATTGCTATCGAGCGAATCAAAGGAAGTATAAGTTGCAATATAAGGGGAAGGACTACCGATGAAGATTGGGCTTCTGCACGCAGGGGATAGTTCATTCATTGACAACCTTAAGGGATAGACATATAGAATAAGAATGAGTAACATCTCATAACCTCGCATGCTACCATGCGACAATACCATTGTGTACTGATTAATCTAACGATCTAAGAGATGTAAAGTTTGTATTCCAAATAAGTGAGCAGTTATTGATTATTT